TATTTTTATAAAATTAATAATTTTAATAATAAAAAATAAAAATATTTTAAAAAATATACTTATTTGTTTTTAAACATGTCCTTATTAGTCATTTATGTTAAATAACAATCGCTAACTATTGTATAGCTAAATAATTATATTTATCGAATCCGTTATTTACCATCCGCTACTCACTTTCCGCTATTCACCATCCGCTATCTGTTAACCGCCACTCACTATCTGCTACCACTATCGCTATCCGCTATCCGCTATCCGCTACCTGCTATCCGCTGAATTTTAACCGCTGTACCAAACAGGCCTAAGAGCAATGGAACATAAGGAAGGGAAGAAAATTCTTCTATTTGATTAAAAACCATTCGAGGGTAGGAGAGAGAAGAAACTTCCTTTATTTTATTTTTTCTTCTTATTTCTTCATCCTTATTTTTTCTTCTTATTTCTTCGTCCATTTTAACCTATTGAAATTATGTGAGAAGGAAATAGCCTCACCATTTTCTTCAATCCAAACAAACTCTAAAATTTAAGTATAATGGCAAGAAGTGGTCTTACATGTCAAATTCAAAATCGAGTTTGGAAGTTTTATATGTTAAATTCAAGATTCCTTTAGTAAATTAGGTCAAGAAGTCATGTGAAGTGCAACCTTAGGATGACTTAAGGATGAATTACTTTCATAGCACTCATAAACCAATTTGGACACCCTCACTATGAAAAAATAAGAAGAAGAAATAAAAGGAAATCACAATGGTGCAAGACATGCAGAGAGAGTCCTAATTCCATAATTTTCAGTATTTAAACACCATGACACTACCAGCCAAACAAACACATGATCATGTCCATAGAAGTGAAATGTAAAGAAAATTTAATATTGTTTTTCTTGATGATAGATTCATTGCCATAGAGGAATTAACAATGAACGCTGTGGTTCAAATTATGTAAGTTTTAAAACCAAAGTTTTTATTAGGCTTACAACAGAAGATATTACTGAGAAATGTTCTTCTCAGTTGGGCAATGAATGCTGTACCAACGTTTACTTTTGCCGGTTCGTACTGAAACGAACATTTCTCAATTACCAGAGCCACAATATCAATTCTGGAGACATCTAACAGTAACATTTCTTCTTGTCACTGCTCCATGCTTTTGATGAAGCAGCATTTGCTAGCCTTTTTAGAAATGAGACAACATCGTCCGATGATTGAAGTAGATATCTAGCACTTGTACGAGTCCGGCCAACAGCACATGAGAAGTAGTTATCCCCTTTAAGATCAAGGACATTCCAGGAGATGTTCTCTGGTGATGGCCGCCTTACTGTTGTGCAATTATGGTTATTATTGCTTCTCTTTTCCGAATTTGGCACCGATCTCTGTGCCTTTGTTTGAGATGTTTTTGTTCCACTCCTGCTTGCTGGAGGCTTCAAAGCAGGCCTTCGATCCACTGGTAACTTTGGACTGTCAGTTGGTTTAGCTCTTGTGATGCTACTTCCATCAGAGGGGAGCTCTGGCTCGAAAAAGGTGTACACATCTTCATCCTAATGAAGCAAGAAAAATTATCACATCATGAAAAAAAAAATGATTGATGTCTGTACATAATTTCTTTTCTGCCATCAATGATTGATGTCTGCATGCATGCGGGAATTTCTGATTTCTGCATTTTAAATTTTAACTTCACTAATGCAAAACATTATCCCTTCCAACATTTTCCAAACCAAATCAAACTGAAACGATATAAATAACCAGATCATCATGATTTACAGACTACCTGCTAAAAGGGAAAGACTTGTATCTCCAAATAAGGAAAGAATAAAAGTTTGTGTCAGAAAACCAAAACCAACCAAATAATACCCCACTCTTCACAAAAATTCCACCAAGCTTGAACTTTTGAATTTTCTAGTCTTAGTGCATAGCTTCATTGAAAATAACAGTCCAGGTGGTAAAGATTGATTTCAAATTCTAGTATTCTTAAAACATGCTTGACTAGATATCACAATATGTCATATAAAAACTTTTGAGTATATTTCTCATGATCCTAGTAAGACAATCCTTTAATCAAGAGTGGTTTAAAAATTACCTTCACAAGAAAATGTCCGATACAGAGGACATAATCAATTGGTGTGGTCATTGACTTGTTGTGGACAATTTCTCCTAAAATGCGATCAATAGCTGCACCCTGAATGGAGATACAACTGTCATATAAGGAAACACCTATCTCCATCCATAAACTGAAAGCATTCACAAAATAAAACACAATTAATGTTTTGGTCAAAATGTAGTTACCTTTGTAACACCAACTGCTCGCACCTCAACTGATCGGCTACCTTGAACAACATCAACAGATGCATTAGAGATTGGGCCTGTCGAGATATGTTGCAACATATCTCTTGCTTGAAGTCTTCCAAATTCAACATCTATAACCAGAATAGATGAGGGGGAACGGTATCAAAGAAAAGCTGACAAAAATTGTTAGAATAGATGAAATTTAAATCCAGAATCAGAACTGACAGAGCAAGTTACCTGCATATTTGTAGTTCCATACAAGAGATGTTTCACGGAGTTCAAAGTGTGATCGTGGTGTTCTGTCAGTAAAGTACTCAAAAACATGCTGCAAACAAAACAATTGTCATAAATATAGTGGCAAAGACAGACAAATAGAAACGTAAGTTCTAGTATTCACCTTCACACTGTCAACCCATTCCATATTTGAGTGCTCTGGCATTGTTGTCATCCAATCCCCCACATTTGCAAGGCGAAGAAACATTCCATTTTCTGCAGCCAACCACATGTCATAGCCTGCAAAGTACTGTCAGAGAAATAACCTGGCTAAGTAGTGAGTATGACAAGGCTAGTAACAAAGACAAATTAAGCCAGGAAATACCTTATCCAAGGTACCTCTGCCACTCCCACTAAGAACAACAATAGTTGTCTTTGCGTCATTGCAAAGAGCCATTAAGGGTTCTTTTAGCTCTGGATGCAATTTAAGTTCCATTTCTTTGATTTGATCCCCTCTTCTCCCAGGAGTATCCACTGGCTCAGTTAATGTTGCATTGAAACCCTAAACATGGAACCAACATGGAAAGTAAAACATCAAAACCCATTAGGTAAGAAGGGATAACAGTAAGATTTGTCAAAAGCCAGGTATGATAGGCCCAGCATAGCAAGGTTACCAATCAGTTAAAATAGAGAATATAATTGTTAGTAGCAAAACTAGACAACTTCCATATAATTGAAATAAAGAAAGGAAATCTTATTCTCAAAATGCAAGGAAAGAATGCTGCTTAACACAAAACTAATGGGAATCAAGATGAATACTATAAAAACAGGTTGGAAGATTTCCAAACATTTCTAATCCACTACTGACACAGTAAAAGGCTAAATCAGGTTGGAGAATGCAAGACCACCATTATAACACCATCATCAAGGGAGACAAAAACTTACTAGATTTTGGTGCTTGTCTAAAAGAACTTGAAGCCAAAACATAAGTTAACATAAGTTAACGTAAGTATTTTTATTATAGGGCATCAAATTATGGGGAAGATAGCAATAGAATATAAAATTCAGATGTTTTAATCTATGATCTGATTGCTCATACTTCATTAATACAAATGTAAAGAAGAGCATAATGGTTACAATCATCACTTCAATTTTTCTTTTTTCTTGTGGTTTTGTGAGAACTAGTTTCTCATCATAGGAGTACAATGAAAAAAATTTCTACACTTCTGTTCACCAGGAAAAATGGCATCCCTTTCTCTACTAAGATTCACAGCGACTCATTCTTTTCTAGAGCTATAAACATGCCAGTTATGTACTTAACTGCTTAGTCCTCCTTCATGATGACTTCTATCTTGTTTGCTGAATATTTTGACAAACTATTAGAACTTTTTCAATTACTCAATACACCACAGTTTCAGAATCACGAAACCTTGAATTGACTAAATTTAATAAGGTAGATTTCAATTTAAGATATAATTCTGACAGAGTTCAATTCAACTACAATTTAATTTCACATCCTATATTCCAGTTCATCTATCAACACTTCTCAGCCAAGTCACACATTATGAGCAAATAAATTTCTGTTGGAAGGTTTTCTTCTTTATTGTGCAAAGTTCTAAAGAGGTTTCAACAAAGAGACAAGTTTAGGAATTATAATAATGCATAAACTCTTCAGTATAAAGGCTAAAACAGATCAACATTCCATTATCCACTAAAGCAGATTAGAACAAATAGACATACGGGTGGCAACCATCTTATCATTTCAGGGAAATAATGATTCTTTTTGCCTTTTTGGATACAGGGATGAAGATGACAAATAACATTAAGGGAAAAGCCCCATCCACCAACTTATCTAAATCCAAATCAAATAGAAACATAACTGCAGTAACAACAGGACCATTTTAACAAACTAGAGATGTTTGATATCTTTGATCTTGAAGTCTTGAATATTAAGTTAATATAAAAACTCTGAATAATGGTTTTGTAGTTATAGTGCAACATCACAGAATTATTGGATTTCATACCAAACATCACATACCAGTATCACTAATCGGTTATTAGAATGCAAATAGCATTCAATTGCATCCTTTTGTGGAAGCTCAGGTGGGACTTTGCTAGTCCTTAATTGTGCTTCAACAACAGTGTCATTCAATTCACTGCAAAAGAATTACATGGAACTCAAATATCCACTAGTCCTGGTAAACATATAAATAATCTGAGTATGAGGTAAATGCATAATTTTTCAACAAGAAAAAAGAATAAAATTTTCAATTCATTACTTTTCTTTATTTTGGATAAGTTATATATATTTTTGGCAAATGGGATATTATTATAATTTTGGGGGCATGCATATTAAGTTAGCCCCCTGACATACTTCCCAGTGAGATGCCCACACTAAACTCCACCAGTTGACCTCCAACATTGATGAAATCTTGCTTGCTCAATTAAAATCAAATTGTTCCAAATTTTTTTAAAAAAGAGTCCAAAATAAAATTCAAATTCACCAAAATTATTGTTTTTTTTCTTATTGGTGAAACAATTTATTAATAAGGGTACAAAGAGCACATACAACTCACAAAATAAACACAACTAAAACTATTGTATATATACCTCACAAAGGTCTCAGCCCACTCTTGAGCAGTGTGGGTCGTCACATGCACAAAATTATGATGATGTCGCTTTTCTCTTTCGTTAGCGGACATGTTCAAAGCCTGGCCAATGGAAGCAGCCACTTCCGTAATGTTCCAAGGATTCACCAGTATAGCTCCAGCACCCAATGACTGTGCTGCACCTGCAAACTAAAAGACACATCAAGCGTATCACAAGTTAAAAAGTAAAATTCTGAAAGAGGAAAAACAAGCGTGCATTATCTCCAATTAAAAAACATATCAGAATTCTTGACAGCTGAGTTCTTTTTTTTTTTGGGGAGGTTAGGCAAACAGATAAGAGGAAAAAATATGAAATTTTTATACAACGATAATTATCTTCTGAGCATACGGAAATTAAAAATGTTTAATATAGAAACAATGCTCAATCAGAACTTTAGTTAATTTGTAATTACTTCACTGAGAATGAGGACCCCTTTCTTTGAATCTTGGCAAGCAACAAACTCATAACTGACAAGATTCATCCCATCCCTTAAAGACGTGACAAGTGCCACATCTGAAGAAACAAAAAATAACAAATTTGATCAGTCACGGATTTAGACAATCAGACTACTAAATTATAGTAAAAGTCAAATTCCTAAAAGAATTAGTTTAATCTCGAGCCCAATGGAAGATCAGGATATGAGTTAACTAGATGCAGAAAACTAGTAATCCTTGAGAAACATGAATAATGCAGATGGCTGTCTAAAATCTTTTCCGAAATTTGATTAAAATAATGAACTTCATATATGCTTCTCATAAGGACTAGCATGTCTGTTTCTCCTTCAAAATTCAAACCTTTTCTTTGATATTTCTAATTTCAAACCTCTCACAACCTCCAAAGTTATAAAAAGAGAGATCTTGCACAGTATCTGATCTTAAAAGTATCAAAAGAAAACAAAAAATCGAAATGAATATAATTTTGTTGTATAAATTGACTGTCAAAGTGTCAGATAAACATAAGTTGTAGAAAAAGAAAAAATCATGTATATCAACAAAACTAAGAGCAAAATGACTTTGTTTGTGCCCTTAACGAAAAATCTATAATAACTTAGAATGTAACTGTAGAGGCTCCCAAATAGAGTTATTCTAAAAGGTGTAATGAAATGGCCAAGGATGGTGATTTTTAATTAAACAAAATTATTACCTGTAACAGCATATAAAGCACATAGTGCATGAAAATCAAGAGAGCGATCCTGCAGACAGAGGAAAATTTTCACAATTGAAAATTAATTATTGCAGAGAAATTTTATATCAGATTCTCATTTGTGGACTTCCTGCCAGAGTGCCAGGGGAGGCAACACTGCAACATTTGTGAACACCTAAACCCCATGCAATGCAATACCTTTTTCTTCTGAAATGGGAATCACTTTTTGGACCTAATTTTTCAACAAGCTGGCATGCCTAAAATTGAAATGGAAATTTTTGAAAAAATGTGTAAGATGGATGCTGGTGTAACTGATTTCAAATGTGCTGAAGACTGAGGTGCGAGTTTAGAAAAAAAAAAAACAATTAACTCTAAGAATCAGAAATATTCAGGATTCATTCTGCACTGTTCAATTTGTTTTAATTTTTATAGACACTAATGCAGACAAACTAAACCAGGCCACCACCTTAAACAGATTCAACACTCTTATTTCTTGAAGGCCATAACAAGAAAATATCAGTCATCTATCATAGGACAATGCTGCACATGTAAAGGTAGCAAAATCATGCTCCCCACAACTAACAGAAACAAGTAATCTCAAACTAGGTAAGCAAGAATCCTGATGAATGGTTCTTAGCCACTTCTTAAAAAGAAGAAGGAATACCATTCATATATTTCTTTCAGATGCATTTTACATTTCCATTTAAAATTTAAGAGAACCATCCTCTTAGGCACTGTACAACATAATTCAAAAGGACATCAATAATTAGTGCATCCATAGCCAAAACTCTTAAAAACTTTTTTTATTTCTCCTTTGGCCAATATTTCTCCACATTTCTCTCTCATAGGTATATAATGGAAAACCGGTAGTTTCCTATCATGTCAAACATATATCTACTAAAAACTATAGGAAAAATATACCGACAAACCATAACACAACACAAAACATGTTGGTGGCACAATTAAAATCAGAGTATCCCTGAAGCTACAAGATAACTACTGAGACTGATCGTCTCAACTATGATTATCAAGTTAGGCTGATAAAGACTTACAAGATGATGTATTGGAACTGCAGTCAATGTTCCAAATCGCCCATTAATGCGTCCAACAATTTCATGCACCTGGCTGGTAAGCCTTTGATCTGTTAATTTACAACAGCAAAGACAAAATTGTTGAATACTGAATCACATTTTAAGGAATGAACTTACTAGCAAAGGCTGTATACTTGGTATGCAAGTAAGAAAATAAATAAAATCAACCCAAAATGATACTTGTGTAAATGAATAAGTAGGCAGTATGTCAGTAGCAAAGAAGAAATAGTAACCATGTACTGTTTAGACTTTAGATGGAAACAGCTACAATTGAATAATTCCATACACAAAGAAAAAAATAAAAATTAAAACTGATTATTTCCACTTTGTAAAATTTTTTTGGTCATCTTCTGATTCATAAATTGACATACAGGTTTTTATGAGCTAGTTCAGAGGGAAAAAGCTACACGGTATTTAGGAAGCAAGATTTTGCAAGTTAAAAGTAAGGATTTATACTGCTACACTTCTGAAGCAAAAGAGGTTTCAATTTTTATCAAGGCAATTCTAACAAGGAGCTTTTCAAATGATTTCAAAAAATATAAGAAATTCATCAAGCTGGATATCTTACCATGTAGTTATGCCAACATGTTGCCAAGTGACATGGGGACAAGATAAATGTTACCATGTTCAAGACCAACTTGCATTAGACTAGTGTTGACACTAAGGACTGGGCTGCATCCTGCTATAGTGCTATGAGGTATTGTCTGCTTTGGCCCATAATAGGCCCCACAGTGTTGTCCCTAAAAGAGCTCAGCCCTCATGGGGAAAAGGGTTGAACCCAACTTATAAATGTGGGACTCTAGCGTCACTCCATCAACTAAGTGTCGAGGAAACTACCCAAAAAAAGAGCAAAAGTGTCTAGAAAAAGTGCCTAGAATGGTTATAATATAAGTCATCTTAAAAAATAGAACAACACTTATGCACAGGTTCATTCAGGTCCAAAAGTTTATCATCCGGAAAACCACTCAATAAGACATGTCGTTTTTTCTTTTTACTTCGCAAAAGAAAGTAGTGCTTAGATATTGCAGAGATTTGACCTATTCAAGCTCTAGTTTTAGCCTATATCCTGTTATCCTTCTCTGTGAATCTTATACTTGGTAACCAATACCTACTGTAGCTTGCTCAATAAGTGATATCTCGACTCCTATACACATGTGGACAAAAACTCCTACAGCCAAAGAGCAATGACAAATCCCTTTTCCTGAAAGGTAGGAAATGCAAGATACCGTGGTGGTGGAGCTTAGTTCTGTTCCTAAATGGGAAAGTTTACAATTAGATAGCAGATTGCAGTCACCTACTACATTGGTCTCAGGAAATAAAATAGCTTATAAGTAAATAGTAACTTTAGCAACTTGGCCTATCCAATTATAAGGAGAAGCAAACGCCAAAGAATCCATATCAGACACAAACCAGCACACAAGCTATGCAACACCTATTTGTGAACATGACAGAGAAAATAAAGGAATGAACATACATTCAGGAACATCAGTTCTTGTTGGTACGGCAATTTGCAGCAAAACCACTTTATCACGCCAATTAGGGTTTTCTTCAAGGAATTTTTCAAATGCCAGTATTTTTTGAGGAATTCCTTTAATCATATCAAGGCGATCAACCCCTAGCATTACCTGCCAAGTCCGAACAGGGGAAGTAAGCATACTGCAGTACAAGTGAAATGATACATGTATGGAATAACACCTTAGTATGGCTTCTAATAAATAAACAGAAAACACCAACATAAGAGACAGAAAAGAAGGCAAAAGATTTCTTTTACATGTTGCTTTGGAATGATTACTGGAAACAAAAAAGGGAATTGCTCCGAAATACAGAGCTCAAGATTTAAACTCATTATCATAATAAATAAATAAATAATTAAATTAAAATTAAAAATGTGGCTTTAAACGGGTTGCAAACCACTGTGAGCTTGGTTTACTCTACCAGTTTCAATCCAGCTCAAGGAGCCTATACCATCTGGCAAGCCATTGTAACATCACTTTTGAACTCAAGCCCTCCTCTAGCATGTATGTGTCTCTTTGTTGGGAAAGTGGGTTGTAAAGGGGGAATTACAACTGCTTTGGTGCCCATGACTTATCTTAATTCCAAAAAAAGTATTTTCCCCAACTTATCCTGTCCCATTGTTGGCAATCAGGTCAAGAAATGTTCGCACTTAAAAGCTAGTGCAAGAACACAACATTTACAGAAAAACATGAATACTACTTTTCTTTTGGGTTTTGTTTGGTTTGAGGGAAATGGAAGGATAACAATATCCTTCCATTTCCCTCCTCTTCCTTCCAATCATTTGGTTGTGTTAAAATGTACCATACAATCCACAATTTACAGCATCAATGACCAAATATAACAAGCAAGACAGATTCCAATTTTTTGTGGCCAGCAAACAAATTCCTTTGATGGCCTGACAAAGAATGTACCTTTCTTCCAGCAAACCTTTCTTTCAACTCGTTGATGTGTTCTTGGACTTGAGGAAGCTCAAGAGCTCGTATAAATCGATCTGAGTCTATCCCAATGGGGAACTGAAGTTTCAAACAATTAAAGAACCAAAATCTAATTATAAGTATTGTATAATTGGTATTCTTTCACCAAAGAAAATATACTTAATTTACTCTATATGCTCAGTAAAGCACCAAAAAGTAAACTGGCTTTGAATTAAATAAAAGCACAGCAGTAAACAAATGGAACAATTCAAGGAAATCAAACATACCGCAGCAACTCGTGTTAACCTTCCCTGATCCTCAACTCCTTCAGGTGTCCCCTCGAGTCCAAGAATACGAGTACAAGCACTAACAAAATGCCTTGCATAGTCATATGTATGGAAACTGGGGAAAAAGCAAACAGAAAACAGAAGCCAAAGTTCAACTTTTTGTGAATTAGCATATTAGATAGATAGAAATGCAAGCCATTACAAGCATAACATCAGTGAATGTAAAAAGAAACTAGTCAAACATGAATAGTTATAATCATTGACTTAAAGCTTAACAACCATTCCAATTAAAAAGTTTAGTTCTATCTATCAACAAATTTCTTTCTCCAATCTTCAATAGTTCCCTCATGAATTTTCAATGACCTTAATTATGAGAGGACAAGTTGCTCTGAAACCAATACAACCCTTTGATTCTTAAACAATTAAACAGCCTCTTCAACCATGGTAGCCAGAAATACTAACTAGATTGATCATTACAGGCATATTGGATTGATCATAACAAGCATACCATTCTTAATGTTAGAAAGGGCTTAGAGTATGTTTGCACAAGAGAACACTCCACTCTGATTTATGAAGCAATACATCTTGCACAAATACAAAGGACAATATTGAGTTAGTAAAATTTTATTGATATTAAAATAGGGCTACTCATAAAGTGTTTATATCTTACACTATAGGATAAAGATCATCAAGCAATTTCCTTCAATAATTTCTCGATTTTACCAATCAAGATAGATTGTTAGCTTATGTTTAAAATAATTTAAAGAGCAAGCATGCCTCTACAAAAGGTGAAATTTGCACAAAAGTATCATAAGGTCATGCTTTATAGTGGGGAATAGAAAACAACAGAAACTTACCCAGCTAAATCAGCAGCCAGAACAGAACGCAGTAGCTCTGATCGTGATGGTAGCATCCTATGGATTTCAGAAGAAGGGAAGGGAGTATGGAGAAACCAGCCAACCTTCATTTTACTGTTGTATTCCTTTAGGCATTGAGGAAGATACATAAGATGGTAGTCATGGCACCAGACAACATCACCCTCTTCATAGTGCTTGTTCACAACATCAGCAAACATTTGATTTGCCTTCTTATATGCAGCAAACTGAGACTGGAAGCTTCTAGTGGTTGCAAGGCCATCTTCTTGTGGAAGTCCAAGGTAGTGAAAAAGAGGCCACAAAATGTTGTTGCAATAACCATTATAATACTGATGGACAATCTCTTCATCAAGAAAAACTGGGATACACCTCTGCAATAATAAGTACATTCTGATTTACAATGTACATTAATAAATATTACAAATTAAATTGCAAAGAGAATCTAGCAACAAAATCATATACCTTGTCAGCCAAAGCTTTAATAAGCGCCGTTTGTCCAATCTCATCCGGAACATTTACGCCAGCCCATCCAATCCATCTTGCCTCAAAATCCTTGACACCTTGAAAAATTCATCTAAAATACATTAGTTCCTATTAAAACCAAAAGTAGAAAATGTCAAAAGATGAAAATGACATATGAAACCAATTGACCTTGTCAAGTATCTTACCCAAAAGAGCAGTAACTAGACCTCCAGCACTTATCTCAAGGGACCATGAATCCTCACCCCTCCTAACAGCAGAAACTGGAAGCCTATTTGCCACCACCAACAATCTTTGCCTGTAAGGCCTTCCATCTTGTCTTTCACATCCCTCAGCTGGTGCCCTAGTAGCTACAGCCGCTTCCACGTATTGTTCAACATAAGATACTCTAGAATTTTCTCTAGAGCACAGGTTATACTCAGATAGTTCACCTCCTTTATGATTATCAGTAGCCTCATTTGAATGAGAAGCCCTACTGCCTTTCCTTCGCTCCCTTAGCTCTCTTTCTCTCAAGAGCCTTTCAACACGATTTTGTGGTATATGGGTCGAATTACCATTGCACTGGTTCCCAGGCATACGCTCACTTTAGAAGATAACTGCCAATACTAATTTTATGAGCTCTTAGAACAACTGCATGTCCTACATTTTGGTTTAAGTAAATTAACCCTAAAATCATACCATAAAACACAGAAATTTCTGTTTCTGCACCGAATATGTATCATAAACTCAAGTTGGCTAAAAAAAATTATATAGCAACTCAAGATCACAATTCAATTAATTCAGAAAAAAGGTAACTGAAATTTCTACTGCCAGTTACAAAATTTTTTGTCGTTGCCTGATTCTAAAGGATGAGCGTAGAAAGATAAAAAGCAAATAAGACAGAGGAAAAATAAAATAAAATAAAGACAGAAGGGCAGGGCTGCAGGGAGAAAAAGATAACAAAGTGAATGGGATCCACAGAATTTGAGGCAAAAAAAAAAAGGGTCTACCAAGTATTCTAAATCAAAAAAATCCAAGATTTCAACACAAACTCCAAATTACTTAAAAAATAAAGTAAAATAAAGCCACGATGCCAGATTAGCAGAGAAAACATGGCAAAGAGAATGACATCCACAGAACTGTCCATATTATGCAAGAACTCACTATTACTTCTCTTCAATGAAAGAATATATGAGACCCATTTACCGGATTTAAAACAAGCACATTGCAGGAAGGAAAATACCAGAAGGTTGAGAGAAAGCCAAAAAAAAAATAAGAAGAAGGAAAAAACGTTATTCACATTTCCATATTTAAAAGAAGAAATTAGTAAAACAAGAAAAATCATAAATTATACCTTTTAAATTCAACCTCTTGAATAAAAAACCAAATTTTTTGCCTGAGAAGCCGACCTTTGCTTTACTTAGGTGCCCAGTTATATATTTGTTGGGGGGTTTAAGTTTCAACTAAAACTTAAGCATTAGGTGGAGAGAACAATAAGAAAGAAAACTCCGGAATCTGGGCAGCAGTGATTTATAAAAGTGACGAAAAAGGTGAGGAAACAACACAATCCTCGTGTAAGCTTTAGATGATACAGCGAAAAGCCCTTCGGCCATGCAGCTAACATAACAACAGACACCATTTCAAAAATCTTTACCAGTGTCAGGATAAAGGTAGGAAAAATGATTTAATCCAAATCCTAAGAAGCTGCAAGCTAATGCGACACTGACATCATTCGGACCCGCAGCATCAGCGACTAATATAATATATTTGCTAAAATAATACAATACTTGAAAAAATTCTTAAAGAATTTGGTTTCTTAAGTCTGACCGTACCAAAAAAATGAAGTATAAGGTTTGAAAATACTTTCACATCCATAATCACCAACTAGTAGAATGATTAATAGGTAATTTTTATTGTTAATCTTTTTATATATTTTTATATTTTATTTAATAATTAATTTATTTTATTTTATTAAGACTTACACTATTATATATATTTATTCATTCAATAATGTATTTAAATTATAAATAAAGTGATATAAATAAATTATCCTTGTATATCATTACACAATATTAACACTTGAGCTAAGATTTATTAAGAGTGAGTTGATATTTTTTCATAAAGCAATACGATATCTGTTCAACTTTAATTGTACTTATTTGGTTTTTTAATTTTTAAAATATTAATCTTATATGAAAATTTAACATGTGGTATATAATTGATATTTTCGAAGAAATTTTGATCAAATAAAACTGCTCAACAATAATTACGCATAACGCATAGAAAAGAAAATTTTCAATTATCATTAGTATGTTTTGCTAAATTTTATTTGAAATTAATATTCTAAAATTTTAAAATATAAACAATTAAGATGAAACAGAGAAAATATTATGCTATAGAGAATAATAAAATTTCATAAATGCCTTTTGAGTCTAATGTTAAAAAATGTGCAGTTTGAATAGGGATTATCTAAGAAAATATTAAAAATAATAACAATATATTTGAGTTATGAAAAGGAGGGTGGAAGAGAAAATTTTTTAATTAATTAAATTATAATATAAAAATAATATTTATTTATTTTATCTCTTAAAAATAAAAAAATATTTCAAATTAATATTATCTTAATAAATTATTATTAAAAAAATATTAAAATATCTTATTTTTAAAATATAAATTAAAGTATTTATTTGTTATTTTTTATAATATTTTATTAAAATTACTGTAATTTTAAAATAATTCTTTTTAATCTTTAAAAAATAAATTGAATATAAACTACCCCTTATAATATTATATTATAATTAAATTAATTAAAAAATTTTCTCCTCTTCTACCCTCCGGTTCCCTTCAATCCGAATAGAAAGAGGAAGGAAAAAAATTATCATGAGTACTTTTAGAACTGTCGAGAAAAGGTAAAAGATCTATTTGTAGCACACCTTGGGTGGGTACTGATTCAGCGTGGAGCGTGTTTCCAGGTCTCAAGGAAAATGGATTGTGAGGATTGTACACGATTGCACGCATGTGATTGTGAACTCCAACAGTTGCGACACAAAATTCTTGTTTAGCTGCTGTCTCTCTCTTCTCAGCCTTTACTGAAAATCAAAATTTTACATAAAAATTGTTTTATTAGACTGAATATATGAAATGCTATTATAGAAAATAAAAAAGTATATGAAATGCCCAGTAAATTAAAGCGACCATGATATAACCAGGTCGAAGACGAGCTTAACCTGTTGGCACTGCAACTTCACAATTCCTTACTTTTAAAATCAATTTCAGCAACCTATACAATAGCTAAACACTACATAAAATGGAATTAAAAAGAAAGAAAATCTGTAAGATATATCGATAAAAAAAAAAAAAAATCTGTCTGTTGAAAATTAAGGCGCAGAGTCCATGAAACTTGGGGCATTGGGAGGGGGCAATTTGGAAAGAAATTAACTATGACAATCTGGGCTTATGATATTATCCAAAAAAGAGGAAATGAATAACCAATACAAAAAATTATTTTTCAAGTCAAACTGCATAATAAAAGTTAAAATATCTTTAACAAAAATTCTTTCCTATAATATTTTATTAATAACATTTTAATGACTTTAATGTCTAGACTATACTTTTATTGTGCAATTTGACTTAAAAAATATGAGTCCCTAAATGTTGACATCCTTGTTATTTGTACTTTGTACTAAAATTGCTTGGAAACTGAATCAGAAAACTAAAAGGTTATTAGGTTGCATCTTCGATCCAAAATCTTCTCACTTCCAAATTCTAGCATTGGAAAAACATTGACTACTTCCAAATCCTAAAATTGGAAAGACCTTGACTAATTGATACCAATTAACTAAAAATACTTGATTTGGATCAAGATTCTCTTGATGTACAAAAATTAAAAAAAGAAAAGAAAAAGAAAGTACTATAGTAGACCCTTGCTATATAATCAACAAAACTTATGCTACTAAAGGTAGTTAGTTATGCTGCACTCTGTAGAAACAGTCCAATATGAACTGTAAATGAGTAATGGAATAAAATTCAAACAAATTACTAATTTTTTATGTGGAACAGTGAAAAAAGTTTTAGCTCAAGATATGAGGTAAAATTGTATGCAACAGATAGATTTAATTAAAGCTTTGTTTATGAGTATTGTGATATAAGGGTTGGTTTTTTGGTTATTTACTATGTCAAAAATATATAAAATATTAATTAAAATTAATAATAATATATGAAAAAAATTAAAACTTTATAATTTTAAATAAATTACTATATAAAAAAGAATAGTAAAAAAATATTAACAAACGAAGTCTACATCTTTCATAATTTCTTTTTGTTTTATTTTCCCCAAATCTATATACTATGATTATGCTCGTGTGAATATACAGTGTATAGGCAAAGAATCCTAAATCGACAATTTTGAAGAGAGAAAGGTAAGATTCTCTTAAAATGATAAATTATTTGGTAAAGAACCTTCTATTATTTTTTTTTATGAACCTTTTACTATTGTTATTATTTTTTTTACGAACCTTATACTATTATTTGTAAGACAAAACGAAACAAATATGATATATAATTTCACTAATATTTTTTTTTATGAATCTTCTATTATTATTTATAAGACGGCTTAATTCAATTTTTAGTCTATTAACTATTACCTTGATTTCATTTTAGTCTAAAAATTATGTTTTATTTCTAAATGGTTTATTAACTTTCAGATTCATTTTAATTTCATCTACTTGGTCAAAGATAACTACTTGGTCAAAGATAACGGAAAACTTCCATTCTTTTAGAGAACAGTTAGTCTTCTAATTATATTTTTTTTATCTTTTAGTTCTCAAATTTATATTTGTTATAAAAATAGTTTTTATACTTAAAATTATTATTTATAGGTTCTGATACCAGATTTTTATACTTAAAATTATTATTTTTAAGTGGTCTATTAACTTTTAGGCTCTGATACCAAATTAAAGAAATAGGAAAACCAGTATAAAAATCTGGTATCAGAGCCTATAAATAATGATTTTAAGTAAAAAAGTTATTTTTATAACAAATATAAATTTAATGACTAAAAGATCAAAAAAATATAGTCAGAGAACTAACTGTTCTCTAGCATAATAGGAAGTTTTCCGTTATCTTTGACCAAGTAAACGAAATTGAAATGAATCTGAAAGTTAATAAACCACTTAGAAATAAAATATAGTTTCTAAACTAAAATGAAATCAAGGTGGTAGTTAATAGACTAAAAATTAAATTACGCCTTATAAGACATAATGAAATTATATACCATATAATTTCTAGGAGACTAGGAATAAAAAACAGTTGAACCTAATACAAGTGAGATAGAAGGTACAAGTTGATTTCAAATAGTTGAACCTAGTATCATGATAATTTTGAATTGACCTTACTAGTTAATGTAAGATGACGTCATTGCCTACGACAATTGGTAGTCCAGAATCTAATAAGTGGCTGCTAAATTTTAGAGACATACCAGCAATAGCACTTTCAGATACCGGCAAGAGTTTGCATGCAGGAAGAATAAACACATGAGCCTTTGTTGAAATTTGTGAAGAAAACATTCATTTCCAGCTTTATTTCCACCCACTCATTAGGTCCTTGGCTCCATTAGACAATGGGAGAACAATGGAGAAACACGATCTCGTAAAGTGATGATTCAAAGTGACAAACCAACTGCTTGGTCTTCAACCATTTCTAATACAATCCTTGAAAGGAAAACCGAATGTAAACAATTAGCACATATTGAGTTAAGTGGAAAAGAGATTGCCACCACTTTCCTGCTAAGAGAAAACAAAGAAATCTAAAGACGTATAAGAAAAACGGAAGAACCAAATATCAATCCATGAAATCTAAACGTGCAAGTTGCAAAAATTTTGTTGTGGATAAACTTCAAGTATCTAGAATGACGATTCACAAAAATCAATCCATGAGACTTTGGACAAGTTGACGGGAACCAAATATCCGAGAATATGGACAAGGATGGCACACGTATGTGCACCACAGCATTGCAAGAACAAAAACTCAAAGAAAACAGAAGAGTTACAAATCAAGATGACATTAATAAAATTCGGTAGTTGAAAGCGTAGATAAAGCAACTTGCAATATCATACAAATATCAAAGAAATCCAAGAGAAAATGACAGACCTCCAATCTTCAGTGATTGGTTAGAGATCGGAAAACCTTATAGTCTTCACTGGTGATGATGAAACGGTAGAAATATCTGTTTAAATTTTTTTAAAAATGATACACGGTGATATACTGATCATATAGCACTCTCTTCCAGAAAAAGGCAAAAAATAGGTAGAACCCAGGGAAAAACATACACCTGACGACTAAATGGACAAGTAAGACGGTGAATGCAGACAAACTAGAAATTAGCACTTTGTCAGCAAAGACTCTCATTCATCTTTGGTCTTTTCTCTGGTAAAAGAAGACAAGTGGAGTTGGTATTATTGCTGTGATGCGTAAGAGAGAAGTAAAGGATCCTAGAGTGCAGTGCTCGTGAAGAATACATGGTCGCCAGGGAACTTGAATTGTGTCATAAATGTGTCACCCATGCAGAAGGGGTTGGTTTTCACAACTATGGGTCCCATAGAAAAGAGACCTCTCTGAGACTCCTAGGCCAAATCACCTAGTGAACCAATATGGACCATTCAATAAGTTTCGTGAGCCGAAAGTGGCCTTATAGCCTTGGTGAACCTAAACCCTTATCCTCCAAAAGAAGTACTTACTTCTAATTAAGTTCTGACTAGCACTTGAGAATAAAAATTTTCTCAAGCCCATTTTCAACCCATGGCAGCTCTCATTTACTAACATTTTCAACAAAATTCCTAAGAGCCGTTGTTTGAGAATTGGACTATGGAATTAAACCCTCGAAAAGGCATCCTATGCGCACACTCTCTTTGAAAATTGAAAGGTTTTCCCAGATCTTTTCTTGCTAATTAATCATATCAAGACTAAACGCTATTAATTTGCCAGTTCAGTAAATTCATACGCTACCAAATTTCCAAACAAGAGTTTAAAACTCTCTCAGTCTAAGAGTTTAGCTTCATTTCTATGAGAACTTGCTATGACAGCAGTCTTGACTCGGTTCCAACCATCTTCAAACAATGGCATGCATATATGCAACTAAAGTTCCAGAGTAGTTATGGCCTCAGTTTTGTTGGGGAGCAAGCCCAATATCAGCAATAAGGCCCAAAAAGTTGTATAAAACGTAAAAGTGCTAACACATTAATCATAACACACTCATGTGATAAAAAACAAGTGTACTAATAAAGTAATGATATGTGGGACCATTGTCGTGAATAAGGGTCTATAAATACTCCTACTACAAGGTAATAACTCAATTATATGTCTCTCTTTACAATAACTCTTCTTAAGAGTTTTTCTTTCTAAATTATAAAAAATTATTAATTTGAATCTCGAATCGTCTCTCTTGAGAAAACATCATCAGGTTTTTTTAGGCATTGGAGCAGTTCATGATCTCAATAATAAAAGTTCGTGAAGCTGCCCAAACAAGTTTGAACAATAAAATGCCCACCTGCCACTACTAATTCCAATTTCCTGCTTGCCTGTAAAATGCTACCTAACAAAACATATACAGTTTTCAGAAACCAGAATGTCAATGATATATGTTCCTGAAAATTTGTTTATCACCATGAAAATTACACTTGCAATATCTTTCCATTAAGCTGGCTCAACAGTCAACACTATGCAATGGGCATACAACTTAGACCTGTTTGTATCAGTCCATTAATTCTAGTCTTCTAGATGCACATGAGAAAATTTTCAACAAGACATACAGCTTAGGCATGAAATATAGAAAACACTTTAAGTGATCTTAATCTTATAATCCTACGTTAGTGTTCCTATTCCATATCTTACTTACCAGACCTCATGATTTCCAAGGAAAAGCAGGCAGAATTTTTTATGGCCATTGATCATGGTGTGGGTCCCATGTAAGCCAAGATGATCAATGGCCAAGATTTGTTTGGCCTGCTTTTCACCCTTCAATTTCACATCAAGAACTCCTTTTGGTTTTTATCTTAGAGTCCCCTTCTTTTAAATTTGGGCGCAGGCTGGACTATGAAAGAAGACCCTACAGCGGAACTATCCAATCACGAGCTTTCCTATCTAAGGGTATATAGTACTTGAACGGACATCACTCTTCTGTTTTTATCTTATGGCATAAATCACTTGAAAAGGGAATGATGTGTCTAAAACAAGAATACATACACACTTGTATTCTTGTGAATTAGAATTAACTTCCACATAATTTTTATACATAATAATTCAATAGTTATGAGTCTTTTTATCTTTTTATTATAAATACTCAAAATTTATTTATTTTTTATTTTATATTTAAAAAATTAATTGTTATTTAATATAAAAAACATGATCAACGTCACTCATTTATAATAAAAAATAAATGATTAATTATAAATTTTATGTAAGATTTACGTGTAACTTTTGTTAGTATATTTTGTGAATAAATCCTAATGCATACTTTTATATTTAAAATAATCTACAAGAAATATTATGATAATTAAAAAAAGAACCGTATTTTGGTTATCTGAGGACAGACGCAATCTATTCTCTAGACACGCACTTTCAAATTTTAAATGTAGTTTTTGCTCTCCATTATTTCAGAAACATAAATGAAATAGAATAAAAATGAATTTGAATTCTCAAACAATTGAAATTTTACTTCACAATTTTAACGCCTGTAATTACTTACAGAATCCAGCATTGATTGTCTCTGCCTCTGCCTGTTCCTAACACGGACAAAATCCAACTCGTGAACTCCAAGACCAAAATCTGAAGGATTATAATCCGCGATGCGATCAATTTCCTGTAATCTGCTGAATACTAGCGACAGAAATCACAGGAACTGAATCAAGAAAATATTCAAAATTCGAAATCAGCTCAACCTCAATGAAATCAGAAAGATTTTCAAATCAAAATCGAAATACAAGAATGTAATCGAATTCTCTAAATCAATTGCAAGCATCGAACGACGGAAAACATAGCGAGAGAAAGAGAGAGCGTGCTAACCTTCGAGAATTCGATGACGAGAAGATCTGGAAGTTCAAATGCGATGCTCTGAGGAATCCGGATAGAGAAATTATGGAGGCCAAACCGAAACGGAATATCTTGGTCTGTTTGGTTAGAGAGAAGGGGAAGAAGAAAAGAGGAGAGAAAAAGTCTATGATTTATTTAGAATTTCAGAGAAAGTGGATTTTATGTTGTTGAGAAGAGAGAAAGGGAGATGAAGAGATATATAAAAGCAGAGGACGGTGGCGGGGAAGTGTAGAGTAACTTCGCTGATGGGCTAATTCTTTTATTTTGTTTTTGCCCAATCATTTGGAGGGAATCTGTTCTGCTTTTCTTTTGAACTTTCTATGGCTGAAAAAGAATTTCAACTTAGTAAATTTCTTTGGAGAAAAAAAAAAAATGAAAATCAGGTGGTTGCTTTCGATCCACTAACCAAAAAGTAAAGAGCATACTGCCAATTACTTTTAAAAGTTTTGCTTTTTGGTAATGTAGGATGTAAAGGTCTAAAATCTTGATGTTTCTAATTCAAATTTGGTCATATATAGATTTGTACTTATATTAGTTATTGGTTATGTAAGGTGTAAAATTTGATTTAGTAATTAGTTTATATAAATTATGTTAAAGTGTTTAAATTAATTGTTTTAATACAATTGATAAATAATAGTTATTATTCAATTGTTAATAATTATTTTTATTTATAATTCAAAATTAATAGTTAATAACTATTTTATAAACTTTAAAGCAAACACATAATTGTAAATAAAAGTATTTGGATTATAAATCAACGCACACCTAACTATTAAATATCAACTGGTACTTATTACCTTTTCCCAAACGCATAAACCAAGCGAGGTAGGTCGATCCAATAGATATACAATATAAATAATAACTTCTACGTATAAAGGAAATTTCTCCTGTATTATTTGTTTTTTTTTTATTTGTTATTTTTATTTTTATTTTTATAGTAATTGCATATATTTGTAATCAATCTTTCCATGAACAAGAAAGGATATATAAGAAGTGATGGGGTTATTTTCAATTGTATAATACTCTCAATCAATATAATACATTTATTTTTATCAATTTGAGTTATGTAATAAAAAATAATTATGTATCTCTCAAATATTGGTTATTCACCCAAGTTTGAATCAAAAGAGTATAATTTAAAAGAGAGTAGTCTTTCTTAGTAGGATATCTAAAAAATAAGAAGGAAAACACTTTAAAAGTATGCTATTTTAATAAAGTGCTACCAAATTTTAATAAAGTGCTACAAAAAGAAAAAGAAAAAAAAAGGATCAAAACAATCTTATTCTTATTTTAAAAATAGGATGCTAATAGGTGCACCCTGTCAATTTAACACCCAATGGGACACACCCTATAAAATATGTTTTATTAGTCGGTTTGGAGTAAGGGCTGAAATTGTAGAAATCGTTTGTTCTCGTTACCAAACAAATTGGAAATAGGTGCCTCCCACGTTCAACTTCTTCCCCATGAATCCAACACTTTTCCAATGCCTTTTTTTCTACCCATTTTTGACTACATTTCTTTTCCCCGCTCTCTAGTTGTGATTGGGTTTGTGCAAACACATTATTGTGTTTGCACAAACTTATTATTGTGTTTGCACAAACTTAGATGATTTGGGGTAGGGATAGATTTGGGATCCTTGTGAACCTAGATCTAACCCAACACACAAACTGATGTTAGTGATGACCCAATTTTATTTCCATTAGTTTTTCAGTAATTCCTTAATCCCTTTACACATCTTGTTCCCAAATGGCCAAATCGGAGAACTCATCAATGTGAAATGGTTTTTGGAAATTGAGGGTTAAAAACGAACAAGTTACAAGTATGGGATTTGGTGGAGGCAAGCTTCTTAGGGAGGTGGGTTATGGTTGCCCTTTTTGTTTTAAGAAACAAAGTAGTGGGTGGAGAAGGAAAGGGAAGATTTAGGGAGGATTGGAGAAGAGAATGCATATGAGGGGGAGGTGACGGGTGAGAAAGGGAGAGGAAGTATAGTATGTTGTGATGGAGAAGATAGGGGTAAGAGTATTCTAGCACCCCACAATATTTTATTGGGTGAACCGGAGGTGTGTGGTAGTGTATGCCAGTTTAGGATGTATACATATCATTTCCCTTAAAAATAAGTTATTTTAGTCTTTTTTAATAAGATTATCTTAAAACAATGTAATTTTAGATTTTTCTTCTCATAATCTTTTAGGAATTTAACTAATAAACACTATTTTCATTTAGAAATATAATGCTTAAACATCTAAAACATAAAAAACCAACAAAAGAAGTATGTAAAATGTATGGACCATGATTGGCACACACACATTCATACTACACTCCTGTTACACACTCCTTTTTCCATTAACTTTCACACTCTCTGTTAGTCTCCATTTCACTCTCACCGTGTTCCCACCTTCTTCCTTTTTTTTTTTTTTCTCTCTCTCGATTTGGGTTCTCCAAAACCCATCCGAGAACCCACCTCTTCTTCTCTCTCGATTCTTCTCCCTTCTATAGATCTAGACCATCTCCTTGCATCTCATCATCATCACAACCTCCACCTCCATCACCATCCTCAATCACCACCGAAATAGAAGAAGAGGGCCAGAACCATAGATCCCTCTATTTTCCATCATCATCGTCACCATCACCATCACCACCATCATCATTGTCATCGCCAAGCAGCCCCCCCCCCCCACAAAAAAAAGGGTGAGGCAGATATGGTTTTGGGGAAGGAGAAGAGTGAAGCAAATCTAGTTTTGGGGAAGGAAAAGAGTTCGACAGCTAAAAACACCAGATGAAAAGGGGTGGTAACGGAGTTAAGTGTAATTAACGGTAAAGTAATGGAAATTAAAGTGTGTAACGAAATGTGTGGTGCGAGAGTGTGGATGCATCTTTATTCAAAATGTATATACTTTTATAAACAAAAAAGGTATTTAAAATATCTAAAGAAATGGCTTATATCTTGTGCTTACGAAAAAAATTGATGTAGCCTCTAATCAATTAAGCTTGTGCTTGTATTTTGATGTTGTTGAGTTCAAAAATTACAATGACATCCATGTAAGATGGAGAGTAAATAATGAGAAAGGTAAAGGTTACAATTAGAGTGCACTGGAATAGTTTAAAAATGCTATAAAATGAATAACTAAAACTGCGCGTTTACTATTGTCTTGATTTTTAAGTTTTGGTTTTCACTATATATATAGTAATTATTCATTTATACACAATTTTACTTATTTTTTAAAAAAAATAAGTAAATTTTTACTATATGTATTAACTAATACTAACAAAAAATTACAATTATACTAAATAAAACATAAATGAAACAAAAATGTTTAAAATATCAGCATAAAGCCACTATTTTGTTCCTTTTCCAAAAGAGATATATTTCAATTGATATACTAACAAGTTTTATAAACAAGGTGGCCTAAAAAAAAATTTCATAAAATTGGCCTTATCATCATCATCAAGATATTGGGTTGAAACGGACAGGCATACAATCCATGATGGGGCCAAGCCAGTTGTGATTCGTACTAGAATGCATTAAAGCTAGTTAGCCACCTACCTTACCTTGAAGGATCGATTTGGATTCCGTCAAACCACAAATTTTTGATATTTATTTTACAAGTCTGCTAAAAATCTCTAATTTGTTTATAATAATATAGAATAATTTACTTTTCAATCTTAAATTACATAATAAAAAAAAAAAATTTTTTCAATTTAAAGTTAATTTATCCATATATCATATAGTTTAAATTTAAAATTTCTTTCATATATTACCATTAAATTATTAAAATTATTGACAAAATAATTAAATTTATTGACAAACAAATTTAAAATACTTCTTACACTTGAATTGTATGAATAACCATGTGGCCTTACTATTTCTAGTAACTTATCAAATTATTATTGATTAGTTGTACTCTTAAGTAATGTGATAAGACTTTTTTGTATCAAAAAAAAAATGTGATAAGACTTTTATAAGAAAATGCTTTTCTTGCGTACCTAAGGGGAGCCGACATAGACCTTTGAAATTATTTTTACCAAAATTGTATTGGAGGTAATTAAACATATTTTCAATGGGATCTACGTCACTCATGACCATTTGTGAACCTATGGATTGGACTTGGTTTAATGTTTATTAACTGTAAATTTTTGTATTAATTTCCTAA